TCTTTTTTTTTTATCCCCTTTAATAAGACTGAATCTGTTGGTATAATGTCTAATTTTAATTTCTTTATGAGCTTTGTTGAGTGTAATAATATATCTCTTAGCTAGTTTTTTAGGTATTAATCCTAACCTGTACTGCTTCTCATGGCTATGGCTTTTGTCAATGGACTTGAGGATACCATCAGTTAGCCATGGGCTATTTAATCTTCGTGATCACCTGACTGTTCTTTTAATGGGAAATGTTTGTTGTGGAGGTTCTGCACTGTGTGAAGGAATATGTGAACAGTAGAGTTAATGTCTTGATTACTGTGCAATTCTTACCTGTGTAACCGTATTTATGAGTAAAGTAGGGCCCCAGTTATATGGCAGGTTAGGCTCCAGGCTACCACCGGAAAGCAGACATCACCGGAAATCAGAATGCCATTTTTCCCCACTTATAAATGCATATAAATGCTAGATAACAAGTTTACGGTAACATATATTAAGTTAGCACTAGAACAATAAAAAGTAAAATATACAGGGACGTGTTTCCGTAAGACACCTTCTCCCCCCCCCATCAGTTTAAAATGGGTATCTGGGTGCTAGTTGACTGGTGTGGGTCGCATCCTGGGACAAAACTGACCTAATTTGCCCAAAATGCTCAGCATAACAAGAGGAATTTTATATAGTAGTATGTCATTGATGTCAGCTAGGTCTGCATAACATGTACATGTACTTGTAGTAAACAAAGATATTATTATTATTATTATTAGAAAGTTAGGTGGAGGGAGCCGTCAAGTGAGTTTTGGTCATATTTTGAAATATCCATATTAGTGGAACGCTAAAGCGGGGCCCTATTGTACTTGTACCTAGATTACTTACTAACTTTACCTAACAAAATCCACCTAACCCAACCTAAAATAATCTAATGTAAAGTAACCTTACTCCATCATCAGTAGTGTCTCTACACTTGGGAAGGTTCACAACATGACTTAGAACTTAAGTACTGAATTGCTCAAATGTACTGCTAAACCAAAATTAATGTACTACTACTATTTTTGCTAATAGTTCACAATAAGATAAGATTTCGTTTGGATTTTTAAACCCGGAGGGTTAACCACCCAAGATAACCCAAGAAAGGCAGTGTGTCATTGAGGACTGCCTGTCTTATTTCCATTGGGGTCCTCAATCTTGTCACCCAGAATGCAACCCACACCAGTCAACTAACACTCAGGTACTTAATTGTTGCTACGTGTGGAAATTATTTAATTTCCGAAGCTATAGTGTCTAATAAGTGTTTAATGTGCTGATTTGGGTCAAAATGTATTTGCATTTTTAATGAAATCAGCTGGGTTCCCGCTGCGCCTGCGCAGATGTGCAGGGGGGTGGGGGGTCGAGCTGGGGGGGCAGGTGGCGGGAGTGTTTTGAATGGGTGAGGAGGCTGAGAAAACCGGGAATGAGGAAACTGGCGTTCACGGTGGCCTAAGGATCAATATAGGCCTCAATTCATAATAGGAAGTGTCGTGACTGTCCCTAGTGAAGAGTGAGGGAACGTGATTTACGGGACCACCGTAAAGGGGTGGTAAAATTAGTGAATAATGTTCGACCGGGTGGCAGGTGCACGGCCATGGTGTGTGTCCAGGGGAAATACCCGTGTGTTAATCCTCGCTCATCGGCCTCAGATCTTAATGGAGTGACCTCTAATTTGTATAATAGTTATGAGACGTTAAATCGTCTTGTGAATGGTAATGTAATCAGTGATAATAACATTGAGTTAAGAGAATGCGGGATGCGAAATAGAGCGCCCTGCTCCGAGTGAACGTGTGACTCTCGTACCGGGGATAATGAAGATTTATGGAATCACGACTTCTAAACCGGGACAAACCGACGGATACCTCGTCCTGCCGGAATAAGAACCGTGTCGGTGTAGCAGGACTTCGAAATGAGATGGGGAATGGAGGAAATAAGGAGTATCAATCACCCACAGTTAAGTAACCTTTCTAGTTATAGCAGACTGATGCTGGCCAGTTAGGTATGTTGTGATTAGATAGGTTATGAGTGATCCAGTTACATCAAGTGACCACCAGAGAATATCTGGTAAGTGGAGAGATTATGTACAAGTGGTTTTCCTTGATGGATATATCCATGTGTAACCTACCCCCCCCCCCCTCTTCATTCAGTTACACTAATATAATCTATACAGTCCACAATTAATTAGTAGCACCGTACTTATGGGTGCTATCCAATCCATACTGGTCTCGGATAGATATGGATAAGATTGTGAGGTCGAAGGAACCACTTGCCGCGACCAGGGGTGGTTAAGTTTTCTCACATGTCTACACGGGGTGACTACGGTAAACAATATGGTTGTCTCCCAATGAGTTTACTGGTATGTATATAATGTTGAGGTACATACAGGTAAGCACCCTAGAAAATTTTCCATACTAGGTGAACAGGACAACAGGTGTAAGGAAACACGTCGAAATATTTCCACCCCGCCAGGAATGGAACCCGGGCCCTCCGCACATGAAATACTTATTCCATGAATTATACAGTCTGTATATTGTAATATGTTAACCAATGCCTGAATTCTGCCAACTAATAGCTGGTGTAACTATAGCCAGTTATGCTTATTATAATCACGGGAGGTGCTAAACCTGTAAATGTCACACAAAGCGCTGAAAAGAAAATGGATGAACTCACCAAATGTTTGTAACAAAGAAAACTGATGAACTCGCCAAATGCCATTGTTAAGAAATTCACCTACCAATGCTTGCAACATGTCTGCAACAATACCTCAGTACCAACCATACATTTTCCATCAAACTGGTCTCATTTTAAAGAATGTTGAACATTTTTGTCTAGAAAATGCAGTTTTCCTCACTGGCGAGTTTATCAGTTTTCTGATGAGTGATTGGAAGTAGCTTGATCAGTTTATTTCAGTGGTCCATGGCCTGGTGGCAAAAGCTCTCGCTTCACATGTTGAGGGTTCGGGTTTGATTCCCAGCAAGGGAAGAAATATTGGGCGTGTTTCCTTACACCTGTTGTCCCTGTTCACTTTTTTTTTTTTTTTTTTTTTATTCGCCGGTATTCTCCCGGCCCGGGTCTTTACCAAGTAGTGGTGACCCAGCCTTGGCTCCCTATCTGGGGAGTGTCTCGAGACTTAAGTCTCCCATGGGAGGAGGTATAGTACCTCCTCATCTTTGGGACCAAGTGTCCCCAGGCCTAGCCACATTCCCCGCCCTCATGGGGCTCGTAGAGAGAAGCTAGGCCTCTGGTCTGCCATCTACCCTGCCTCAAAGGGGCTCGTGGGGATGGCAGTCTTATGAGCTGCAGATGGTAGCAAGCTCAGGCCTCTCTTGACCTTCTGTCCCTGTTCACCTATGAGTAAAAATGGATACCTGGGTGATTGTCGACTGGTGTGGGTCCCATCCCGGGACAAAACTGACCTAACTTGCCCGAAATACTTTGCATAACAAGCGGTTTTCTATATAGTAGTATGTCATTGATGTCAGCTGGGCCTGTATACCTGGTACATGTACTCGTAGAATTAAAAATATCATTATTAGGTAGAGGTACACATAAATAGTTACACAAATTATCCTAAATAGTTTAGGTGGTAACATGTGTAAATTACCAAGGATAACCCAAAAAAGTCAGTGACTTGTTTCCACTGTAAAGCCTTATTATTTAATTAAACCTTAAAAGTTACACCAGGTAAGTAACTCAACTGTATGAAAATCAAGCAAGGGTGAGATAGTGCCAATTTCTTGGGTGAAGACCATGCCTCACTTGATAGCTTCCTAAGCTAACCCTGCTGGTCTGGGGTCAATCCCAGCATGTTCCCTAACATCTACTGCCCGTCCACCTAGCAGCAAGTGGGTACCTGGGTATTAGAATACTGTTGTGGGTTGCATCCTGGGGGACAAGGTTAACCCAAGTTACTGGAAATGCTCTACATAACCAGGGAATTTTCATATAGTATGCAAATAATGTTGGCTCGGACTATAATAGTTCAAAATCAAATTTTTTATTTGTGTAGCACACAAACTGTAGTTTACATGCAACACTGTATTGTTAAGCAAAAATAAAATTGTAGAAATAAATATTATTATTATTATTATTATTATTTTATTATTATTATTATTGAAGGCATCATGGGAAAGAATAAATTTCTCATATACTATATATTATACTCATGGGGGGAAGCACTAAACCCACATGCATCACGCAGTACCTGGGGAAATGGAAGGCATTCAGGCTCGATCCAAGGAATTGGAGCACAGGTCCAATTCCTTACATTCCTCACCAGGTTAGTAAGTTTATTTAAGTACAGGTAAGTACAATCATCATACAGTGCAAATTACCCAGGATAACCAAAAAAAAGTCAAAGTGACTTATTTCCATTCTGGTTCATTGTCGTGGTTCAAGCTTATACACTGTGCATGGCTTAATAAGTTCCCCATTCACTTGTACACTAGTATCTCGCGTTAATTTATAAAACAAGCAACAAACACTAGTAAAATATGGGTTAATTCTTGTGATGGAGGAATGTTATGTTGGTGAGGTGGTGTTGCTCCTCCAGCAACTTTCACTATATATCGTCGTTTCATATATTTTCGCCTCTTGTTCTCATTATAATTGATCCCTCCTATAATACATATTACAATCTCTCGCACACAGCAAAGCCACATTATATAATAAGCAACTGCCCTATTAAACACGCATTTAAACTTTAATTTATCAAAAAGTAGAATTTTACAAAGAATATTTAGCCCGCTTGATGGCAGCTGCCGCAGCACTATATACATATACCTGCAATTCAGAGGTGTGATATGAACCCAAAATACAATTAAAAATGAATGATATATAGTCTAGATAAAGAAGAAAATAGATAGCATCTGGTGTGAATAGGTTCAAATAACGCAAATTAGTCATACGTCTGGCTTGCTTGGCCAACTGTCTTGATCACCAAAACTCAACAAAAACACTAAATTTCCCACAAAATGGATTTAAACACTCACTTAAGACACACAATGGATAATCACAAGTGTGCTGAAACACACTACGTAAGTATGGAGCAGCCAAACAGCGTGAGGAGCAGCCACAGTAACACTACCGCTGGTAGTGACTGCTGAGACTCCGATGACTCACGTAAAACACGTCTCGTCTAATACACGTATCATCCTTGTAACCAGACATACTTAAATGGTCACTGATACTTATCGTTCGTTGGTTGACTTCCAGATTTGTCCACTATACGAATGGTCTTACTTAAGGTTGTCTGTAACGTGTACACCACCAGCCAAGGATATACTTTGAATGATAGAACCTCGGTAAATACACCGAGATACACACCCACCGTGAACATTCATTGTCTATTTATTTATTTATTTATTTAGAAATTTTAGCATACATACAGAGGTACAAAAAAAATACAGGTAAGAGCAGCATGCCAAAGCCACTTATATGCATAGCATTACGGGCTGGCTTAAAATTAACTTAAGATTAACTAAGCAATGATGAAATCAGTGATGAGACATTATTGTAAACAGCAAAGCCACATTATATATCTATACATATATCTATACATTGATACAACTATTGTATGTATGTATGTATGTATGTATATATATAATAATATATATATGTCGTGCCGAATATGTAAAACTGGTCAATTAGCAAGAACTCATTTAAAATTAAGTGCGTTCTAAAATTTTCTCTTATACGTTTAAAGATATATTTTTTTCATTAATGTTAATGTAAAAAAATTTAATTTTGCACCAAAAGAATCTTAGAAAACTTACCTAACCTTATTATAACAAGAACAATTTATTTTAGACTAACCCAACTAAATATATTTTAGATTTGTTTACAATAATTTAATACTAAACAAACAAAGTGAAATATATTTTTTTCGTTAGGTTCAGAATGATTTTGACGAAATTATTGCATACACAAATTTTCACTTGTCCTATATGGCAAGATGAGCGTTGCTATTTAAGCCAAGATCGCAAATTCTGCCTATTCGGCACGACATATATATATATATATATATATATTATATATATATATATATATATATATATATATATATATATATATATATATATATATTATATATATATATATATATATATATATATATTATATATATATATATATATATATATATAATATATATTTATATATATTATATTATATATATAATATATATAATATAATATTATATATATATTAATATATATATATATATATATATATATATATATATACACCCCTTCATGTATATACACAGGTGCCCCGTGGCTTGGTGGCTAAAGCTCTCGCTTCACACGGCAAGGATCTGGGTTCGATTACCAGCGAGGGTAGAAACACTGGGCGTCTTTCTTTACACCAGTTGTTTATGTTCCCCATCAGTAAAATTGGGTACCTGGGAGGTGGTCCAATGATGTGGGTCGCATCCTGGGACAAAACTGACCTAATTTGCCCGAAATGCTCTGAGAGCATAACAAGCGGCTTCCTATATAGTAGTATGACATTGTTGTATATGTAGAAATAAAGATATTATAGTGAAATAGACATCTCGTGATGTATATACACTGACACAATCTTTCGTGTATATACACCGTGAAATACAACTGAATGTGTGTTGTGTGTCCCTCCTAGGGAGGTACTCAATGCTGACAACACATGAAACGTTATGACTCTTAATCCAAGGAACTGGAGCTAATCTCCACTTCCTCAGATCAAAATTGAATTATACTACTGATACAGTTAGTTGCATCGTCTTACAACCTAGAGCTAGGTGCCCGGCATACAACCTGCAGCTAGGTGCCTGGCATACAACCTGCAGCTAGGTGCCCGGCATACAACCTGCAGCTAGGTGCCCGGCATACAACCTGCAGCTAGGTGCCTGGCATACAACCTGCAGCTAGGTGCCCGGCATACAACCTGCAGCTAGGTGCCTGGCATACAACCTGCAGCTAGGTGCCTGGCATACAACCTGCAGCTAGGTGTCTGGCATACAACCTGCAGCTAGGTGCCTGGCATACAACCTGCAGCTAGGTGCCTGGCATAAACCTGCAGCTAGGTGCCGGCATACAACCTGCAGCTAGGTGCCTGGCATACAACCTGCAGCTAGGTGCCCGGCATACAACTGCAGCTAGGTGCCTGGCATACAACCTGCAGCTAGGTGCCTGGCAAAACAACCTGCAGCTAGGTGCCTGGCATACAACCTGCAGCTAGGTGCCTGGCATACAACCTGCAGCTAGGTGCCTGGCATACAACCTGCAGCTAGGTGCCCGGCATACAACCTGCAGCTAGGTGCCCGGCATACAACCTGCAGCTAGGTGCCTGGCATACAACCTGCAGCTAGGTGCCTGGCATACAACCTGCAGCTAGGTGCCTGGCATACAACCTGCAGCTAGGTGCCCGTCATACAACCTGCAGCTAGGTGCCCGGCATACAACCTGCAGCTAGGTGCCCGGCATACAACCTGCAGCTAGGTGCCTGGCATACAACCTGCAGCTAGGTGCCTGGCATACAACCTGCAGCTAGGTGCCTGGCATACAACCTGCAGCTAGGTGCCTGGCATACAACCTGCAGCTAGGTGCCTGGCATACAACCTGCAGCTAGGTGCCTGGCATACAACCTGCAGCTAGGTGCCTGGCATACAACCTGCAGCTAGGTGCCTGGCATACAACCTGCAGCTAGGTGCCTGTCATACAACCTGCAGCTAGGTGCCTGGCATACAACCTGCAGTTAGGTGCCTGGCATACAACCTGCAGCTAGGTGCCTGGCATACAACCTGCAGCTAGGTGCCTGGCATACAACCTGCAGTAGGTGCCTGGCATACAACCTGCAGCTAGGTGCCCGGCATACAACCTGCAGCTAGGTGCCTGGCATACAACCTGCAGCTAGGTGCCCGGCATACAACCTGCAGCTAGGTGCCTGGCATACAACCTGCAGCTAGGTGCCTGGCATACAACCTGCAAACTAGGTGCCTGGCATACAACCTGCAGCTAGGTGCCTGGCATACAACCTGCAGCTAGGTGCCTGGCATACAACCTGCAGCTAGGTGCCTGGCATACAACCTGCAGCTAGGTGCCTGGCATACAACCTGCAGCTAGGTGCCCGGCATACAACCTGCAGCTAGGTGCCCAGCATACAACCTGCAGCTAGGTGCCCGGCATACAACCTGCAGCTAGGTGCCCGGCATACAACCTGCAGCTAGGTGCCTGGCAATACAACCTGCAGCTAGGTGCCCGGCATACAACCTGCAGCTAGGTGCCTGGCATACAACCTGCAGCTAGGTGCCCGTCATACAACCTGCAGCTAGGTGCCCGGCATACAACCTGCAGCTAGGTGCCTGGCATACAACCTGCAGCTAGGTGCCTGGCATACAACCTGCAGCTAGGTGCCTGGCATACAACCTGCAGCTAGGTGCCCGGCACATAACCTGCAGCTAGGTGCCTGGCATACAACCTGTCAGCTAGGTGTGCCTGGTTTTACAACCTGCAGCTAGGTGCCCGGCATACAACCTGCAGCTAGGTGCCTGGCATACAACCTGCAGCTAGGTGCCTGGCATACAACCTGCAGCTAGGTGCCTGGCATACAACCGGCAGCTAGGTGCCTGGCATACAACCTGCAGCTAGGTGCCTGGCATACAACCTGCAGCTAGGTGCCTGGCATACAACCTGTAGCTAGGTGCCTGGCATACAACCTGAAGCTAGGTGCCTGGCATACAACCTGCAGCTAGGTGCCCGGCATACAACCTGCAGCTAGGTGCCCGGCATACAACCTGCAGCTAGGTGCCTGGCATACAACCTGCAGCTAGGTGCCTGGCATACAACCTGCAGCTAGGTGCCTGGCATACAACCTGCAGCTAGGTGCCTGGCATACAACCTGCAGCTAGGTGCCTGGCATACAACCTGCAGCTAGGTGCCTGTCATACAACCTGCAGCTAGGTGCCCGGCATACAACCTGCAGCTAGGTGCCTGGCATACAACCTGCAGCTAGGTGCCTGGCATACAACCTGCAGCTAGGTGGCCGGCCTACAACCTGCAGCTAGGTGCCTGGCATACAACCTGCAGCTAGGTGCCTGGCATACAACCTGCAGCTAGGTGCCTGTTATACAACCTGCAGCTAGGTGCCCGGCATACAACCTGCAGCTAGGTGCCCGGCATACAACCTGCAGCTAGGTGCCTGGCATACAACCTGCAGCTAGGTGCCTGGCATACAACCTGCAGCTAGGTGCCTGGCATACAACCTGCAGCTAGGTGCCTGGCATACAACCTGCAGCTAGGTGCCTGGCATACAACCTGCAGCTAGGTGCCTGGCATACAACCTGCAGCTAGGTGTCTGGCATACAACCTGCAGCTAGGTGCCTGGCATACAACCTGCAGCTAGGTGCCTGGCATACAACCTGCAGCTAGGTGCCCGGCATACAACCTGCAGCTAGGTGCCTGGCATATAACCTGCAGCTAGGTGCCCTTCATACAACCTGCAGCTAGGTGCCTGGCATACAACCTGTAGCTAGGTGCCTGGCATACAACCTGCAGCTAGGTGCCCGGCATACAACCTGCAGCTAGGTGCCTGGCATACAACATGCAGCTAGGTGCCTGTCATACAACCTGCAGCTAGGTGCCCGGCATACAACCTGCAGCTAGGTGCCTGGCATACAACCTGCAGCTAGATGCCTGGCATACAACCTGCAGCTAGGTGCCTGGCATACAACCTGCAGCTAGGTGCCTGGCATACAACCTGAAGCTAGGTGCCCGGCATACAACCTGCAGCTAGGTGCCTGGCATACAACCTGCAGCTAGGTGCCTGGCATACAACCTGCAGCTAGGTGCCCAGCATCAACCTGCACTAGGTCTGGCATACAACCTGCAGCTAGGTGCCCGGCATACAACCTGCAGCTAGGTGCCCGGCAAACAACCTGCAGCTAGGTGCCCGGCATACAATCTGCAGCTAGTGCCTGATCCTACAACCTGCAGTTAGGTACTTGACATACAACCTGCAGCTAGGTGCCTGATCCTACAATCTGCAGTTAGGTGCCTGGTCTACAACCTGCAGCTAGGTGCCTGGTCAACAGCCTGCAGCTAGGTGTCTGGTCTACAATCTGCAGCTTGGTGCCTGGCATACAACTTGCAGCTAGGTGCCTGACATACAACTTGCAGCTAGGTGCCTGATATACAACTTGCAGCTAGGTACCTGGCATACAACTTGCAGCTAGGTGCCTCGCATACAGCTTGCAGCTAGGTGCCTGACATACAACTTGCAGCTAGGTGCCTCGCATACAGCTTGCAGCTAGGTGCCTGACA